TTACCTATAAATTATGTGAATAACTAGATATGCTTATGCCAGTATTTGTTGTTAATTAACTACTCCTTACATGGGAGTGCCAAAACAAATGTCTCTCTTAAGTATGCTGAAAGACCTTAATCATAAATAAATAATTTGAAGAGCTTGTTTGATAAAGGTTGAATTATGCCCAACAAAGTTTGAAATGCTCTTGAAATTTGATATTTTACTATATATGCTTGATACTTAGTTACTACTTTTAGTATTGTGTTCTAATACATTCTAATTATGTTCAGTACTACCTGTGTGTTGTCGAGGGTTTATCGGAAACAACCTCTCTATCTTCTCGAAGGTAAGGGGTAAGATATGCGTACATTCTTATTGTTTTTGTATTACTTGTTGCGTATTGCTAAGAAAGCTCAAGTGGCGAAGGGTCTATGTGCTTTAACCAAGATCTGAGTTATACTTAAACAAACACAATATGTTTGATATGCTGCTTATGTGTTGATTGATTCTTCTTTGTTTAAGGTAGTGTCCCTGAGGGGTTTGGTTGAATGATAAAAACGCAACTAAGTGATGTTTGAGTTAGATGTACGGTACGAGTTTAATAGATAGGTGAGTTCATTATTCATCGAGTTACTAATTTTTGCCAACTGACCTTCTGATAGGTGCTGTGGGGGTAAGGGAAACAACAATTAACGTGAATTGTCATTTATGAAACTTAGTTTTCTAATTCTCACCTTCTCCCAATTTTAATCAAACTTATTTTTTCAGAAAAAATATTTTAACTTGAAAACTATTTTCAAATAAATTATTTTTACCAATACCAAACACACCCATAAAGCCATAATTATAATTTAAGAGTTACATTAGTTGATATAGGAACCCAAGTTGTTTGGGATGTTGGGACCATCCTAGTACATAAACCTAGTATTAATTTTTAAAAACAAGTACAGTATATAATAAATAATAGAACAAGTGGATATTATTATATATAATATATAATATATCAAAGTTGAAAGTTTCTATAACTATTATTTTTCTGTATATGGTTTATGGAAATATTACTATTGGTTTATATATCATTAGATAAGACAACAACTAATGAAGTTTCATATCTTTACTCTAAAAAACGATTTACCTCCTTAATTTAATTTATTAATAATCATATTCCTCCTTTAATTATGATATTCGAAGATCAAAGATTAGTAAATGATCGAATATTGTTTAGTTTTTCTAATCAACATTACCAATTATTTTATTCTTTTAATAAATTAGTACTCGTTGGTTCCCTTGCTTTGATTATCGTATTATTTGTTGTTTGTATTATTTTTTTCTCTATTATTTTCATTACGATTTCTCCACTACTGTATTTTTGAAAAACAACATCTCTCCCTTATGTCGTGGCCGAGAAGAGATTCAATACGATGTACGATATCTTCGTGTATCTCTCCATCTTCTTAAATAATGAACTCACAGGATACTTGAAATATTCTTTTTTGGACAGAACTTATACATCAATTTTCAATATTTTCAACTTTACGTTATAAGTTATTATTAAATTTACACTTTAAATATTCTATTTTAATCCCGCTTTGTTTACCAATAAGAACTTTATCCCAAGAAATAAATACATCTAGTATTTTGGATCTTTCACTTATTTTGGTTAGCCTACATGTTATCACAAGCCAACAAAGCCTTTTTAGATAGTTCAGTTCTAAGAATCTTCCACTAATAGTCTTAATCACATAAATGATCTTCTTAGGCAGCACAAAGATTCCAAACCACATAGTTTGAATAAAAATAAAACAATAAACTCTCAAGAATTGCGGATTTAGAATTTTTTCATTAAAAGAATTCAGAATATGAAAAATTTAAATTTCGAAGGGGATTTATCATTTATTAAATAAAAATAAAATAATTTTAATCATATATAAATAATATAACTTTTTACAAAAAAGGGTTCAGATAAGTTTTTCGAACCCTACCTAATTCCGCCGCGGACTCTAATTACTAATTTGACCTTTTCTTTTCTCAATATTTTATATCATAATTGTCTCTAGTGGCAGCAAATTAACAACTCAATTAAGAAAACTTAGGAATTGATTTAGTTTTTTTATTTGCATTGTAGTCTGTGGAATTAAAATTTCTATGGCTTCTAATAATTGTTAGTGGTATTTTAAAAAAAAAAAATTATCCTTTGATGCAATAAAATAAAATAGTAAGTAGTACTATACCATATAATATATGTTATTTGTATGGCAAATATAATCACCTATATATAGAGAGAGACTTATATGCAGGCTACATATTTATAAAAATCGTTTATAATCACCTTTTGAGAACCACAAATTAGCTTAATTTCATAACTAATATGAAGGTAATTATCAATTCCCTAATTACAACTTCTCTCGATTTGTCTTTTATATCCCCTTAATTTCTTTTGTATCTATTTTAATATTTTTTTCTAATTAATTATTAATATTTATATCTATAGAAAAAGATTGTGATCGATATAACTCTCAACTCTGATAATCGTTTATCAAAGGCTATGCAAATTGCTGTAAAATGTGCAGGTATTTATACCAAATTTTTCCTTTTCGAAAAAAAAATAATTTTTATCGTATCAAATCTGTATTTTATGAGAAATTGATATGAGGCATTGGTTCACCTTTAAATGTGTAAGAATGTAACATATATTCAATAAATCTTAAGTATATATATGCATGCACCTGATAAAGTTGATTTATAAATATATATTTTTATAATAGTGAACGTACTTTTTTAAAATTCTGAATTTGTGTTCGATGTATTTGTAGGGATACTATCGGTTAATTCAGATAAAGAAAAAGGGCATTTGGTGGTAATTGGAATCGGTGTCGATTTTTTTAAATTGATGAAATGTATAAAGAAAAAATTCAACTGTGCTCGTATTGTAAGCGTAGAAGAAGTCAAACTCGAAAAGAAACCTGACCCGAAACCACAACCAGTTTGCTATCCAAACCCATGTGTGCAACATTATCCAGTATGCCGACCCGTTTATGATTCCCCTACTCCAAATTGCACCACCATGTAAAAAAAAGAAACAATTTAAATTTATTGTATCGTATTATTAAACATGCTATTACGTAATAATTAATTTGGTGTGATAAAATTATTGTATTTCTCTTTTGTACTTTTTCCTTGCTTATGGAGTACGTATTTTTATATTTTATTGGTGACAACTGATAATTGTGGTGAATGATAGTGATAGTTAATTATAATAATGATAATTAAGGAATATACCATAGTGATTAATGACGTTGATTGTTTATACTAATTGATTACAATTATAGTAATGATTGTAAGTTGTAGTCAATAATAGTGAGGGTTGTTTGAGTTGATTGACGATATAATGATAGTTGTAGTCGAGGATAATGGTAATTCATCATGGTGAGAAGCAGAATGATTAAGATTTTAACTTAAGAGTGAATGGATTTAATGAATTACATCTGAATAACTGAAAGTTAGATCTCTATAATTAAGTGTAAGTAAATTAGATTTTCACCTCACAAACCATATACCAACAACCACAAATCCATAAAACGCACTACGTAATTTCACAGTAAACCTTACATAAAAATAGATAGGCTATTTTGAAAGCCTCTCAAATGGAATAAAAATTGTTAATTGTTTGTGCTCAAGTTCAAATCGCTAGATTAAAACTGATTAGTGCCGTTTGAAATCTTTTACAAATTTAAAGTGAAATTAACTTGACTTATCACTAAATCCCAAACTGAAATATAATTAATCATAGGGTATATCTCACCTAAAATATAAACTTATATTTAAATCAAAAGCTAATTTGTCGAATATCTAAATAATGTGTAACATTTTTTTGTTGGCCTGTGGCATCCATAAGACTGTTTTCTTTTTCTCTTTTTATTTTATCATATTTATTAAAATAGGAATAGACAAATACATATAAATTTTTTCCTTTTAATTCACTCCATATCCCAACTGTTGTTTTTCTAGATCTTCTACTTAGATTGAATATTTATATTTTATTTTTTTTTGCTTCCTATAATATTTTTATAAGTACAAAAAGTAGGAGTATTGTGATAAATGATTTGCAATAGATATTGTTCTAAAATTGAGTTTCAATGAAAAACTTTATCATCAAATAAACTTAATCATATCTTTTCTTTATTATCTATGCTCTAGATATTCAAACCTGGTCGTGTGGGGAGGTGATCAAGTGTTGAGTTCTCACATTGATGGAGGCTTTGATCATTTATCTCTCTATATGATTTGGGAAAATCACTACGTACGTGTTAAGCTAACTTTTAATTTTTATGAATTAAGCTAAATCTCCGTTTGAAATTTTACATTATATTAATTCTAATTGACCTCCTTGCACGCATGTATATATTTTACTACTCTAAAAAATTAATCAATTAGACTCTCGAAAAAGAAACATGATAACCGATTAGATATGAAGATGTAACACCCAACGTCACTACCATTCAATTCAATCGATACAAAAGACGTCATTACATTACGCAAGAACAAAAATCGTGCACGTAGGAGGTGAAAAACTATACGACATTATGTATATAAGTTTTAATTTAATAATTTCAGTTTGTTGGAATGTTGGGACCTACCATTATATATATATTAAAAAATAAAATTAACCTAGTATTTTATAGATATCAAGGACAATATATAATAATTGAACTAGATAATTATTCGATCAAAGTTGAAGTTACTATTTAAAATAAAATAAGATACTTCTCTCTATATATATATGTATGTAAATATTATTGGCTATAAGTCATTAGGTGAGACGATGACTAAGTTTTATCCTCCAGCAAATTAATAATATGATTAGGAGTTGATTTAATTTTTTAAATTAGTACAAGTTTGAGGTAGTCATGTAATTATGGCTACAACAACTAATGATAATATATTTTTAAGTAATAAATAATTATAATTAGTAGTACGAAATAAGTATATAATAAATGAACACGGTATTTGTCTTTGTCAAAGAAAAATAATAATCATGACCTATATAAATGTCCTTTCATTATCATTTTGACTAACAGAATTAAGTTCCATTAATTCACAAGAACATGAAGGTAAGCAAGTCTTTTAAATTATTCTTAGTTTGATTAGTATTTTTTTTTATGTTCTTCATTTGATATAATTTTGTTCTAATTAATGATTAATTATGTGATATACAGAAAAAAATTGTGATTGATCTTCCTATCAACACTGATAAATGTAGATCTAAAGCTATGCAAATTGCTGTTGGAAGTCCAGGTATTTAATTAACTTCGAAAAATATTATTCATCAAAATGAAAGAAATTTACTTTCCTTTAGTACTTTTGAACATAATTAGTTAATTTTTTAGGAAAATGTATAAGTATTTCCTAAATTATAATTGAAATTTCAAAGACGCGTCTTAATTAAACTAAGATTCTATTATCACTGAATTTTTATTTTTATTTTTGTAATTTTGTGCACCTTTTGTTTTACGTGGAACACTCCGTAACTCCACGCAATTGAGGCGCGTGGGAGATATTTGGATATCACGTAAGCCAAAAAAATGCACAAAATTATGAAAAAAAAATAAGATCAAAAGGATAATACAACCTTATTTTAATTAAAATGTGTCTCTAAAATTTTGATCATAGTTCAGAGGAATATTTATACATTTTCCCTTTTTTTTATAATCATCTCGATTACTTTATGATCTTATGACACTTTTAGACATTATTATTGATATTCATAATATCATCTGATTTGTTAAAACCTTGTTATCAATCTTTAAGAAAATATATTTTTTTCTGATAAACATTTTTTTGAAGAAAAAAAAAAGTCATTTTCAGAAGCACATGCATATTCAAAAATGTGACTTTTACTGTGGCAAATACACTAACACACCTTTATATATAAGTACTCTAATATGTTTGCGCCCTTTTTTATTTTACGTGTCACACTCCATGACTCTACGCAATTAAGATGCGTGAGAGATATTTGGATATCACGTAAGTCAAAAAGATGCACAAAATTATAAAAAAAATAAGTTCAGATGGATAATACGACCTTATTTTAATTAAAGTGTATCTCTGAAATTTCAATCATAATCCAAAGGGATACTCGTGCATTCTCTCTCTCTCACACACACACACCAATGAATGTTTGTTTTCCCTGTAGATCATGGCCTTACCACTCGATCTTTGATGACCATGCAGGGGTGATATCAGTGAATATAGATAAGGAAAAAGGTCATTTGGTGGTAATAGGAATTGGTGTCGATTTCTTTAGGTTGATGCATTGCATAAGAAGGAAATTCAAGTGTTCTCGAATTGTGAGTGTTGAAGAAGTAAAACAAGAAGAAAAAAAGCCTGAACCCCCTAAACCTAAGGATCCTTGTACTTGTACTTGTACTTGTCCTTCAACATGTAATCCATGTGTACAATACTATCCAATATGTCAACCCGTTTATGACACTTACGATAATTCAAATTGCTCTATTATGTGATATATTGGGCATAGATCGAACTAGAGAGAAAGCTACGAATTTTATAATAAGATTTTAGTAATTATATTTATTTAAAAATTTAGTTTTTAGAATTAAAATTCTCTATCTTCAATATGTTGTTTTGGTCTGTTTATTAATTTTCTTTTTATTAATTCTTGATTTCATGATATGTAATGCACAATTTTCAATTGTATTTATATATAGAGAGAGATGTATAAATAATATGTTGGTAGATAATAATTAATGATAATATCATGAATCGATATTATGTAAATAGTTTTATCTATTTTATATTCTATCGCTCAAAAGTATATGAATTTATATGTTACCTTTAATGAATAGGTATTTGTAATTTGAATTGTATTAACTTTGTAAATTAAATTAATAATTGTGCAAAGTTTGATAAGGCTAACCAAAAAAAATTTATTAATTAATAAAGCTGTGTGATAATTAACTTTTTATTAGTTAGGCGATCAATCAAATAATATGGCACTGACTTATTTAGAAAGTTTGTGTTAGACTATTTTTATTTAATTAAATAAATTTTAATAATAATAATTACATACTCAATGAAAAAAAATGAAAAATATTTTTAATTTGTTTTTCATTTTGTTTTAGTATCGATGTTAAAGCTCAATTGATTAAATTTGAATTTCACTCGAAAATTATAAAAGTATGTGAGCACACAAATTATTAATCGTCTCAGCGTTAGTTGACGAAAGAAGACTTCTTCTACAACATCTCATTGGTACATATATTCCACTAATTTTAGGCTAAAAAGTCAAAATATTCCTTTCTAAATAAAAAAATATATTTGTAGTACAACTCAATTTAAAAGACTATTAAAATGTATTTAAATATACTTTCACATTTCACAAAATTATTTAAATTAAATTGGACATTTAATTTAAGGAAATTATAGAAAAATAATTTGTGTTCATCACACGTCGTAATTTTTTTTTATAATAAAATCATCAAAAATATTATTAACGATCTAAATTTCAACATAAAAAATTAGCTTGTGGAATCAACAAGCTGTAATTTATAATCTTATCCAATTTTAAACAATAGCAGACTTGTACTAGTTGAACAAAGAATATATCTATCAAATATATAAATATTTTACACAATAAATTAAAGAATAAAATATATAAGAAAATTATCATGGAATAAAGAATATCCTCTTTGACAACATCAACATCAATATCAACGTGGATCAACTTCACAACTTCTTAGAATTGAATATTTGAAAATTCATGTCTCTTTTTAAGCACAAATCGATATAACTATTCATATATCAAAATAATAATTAAATTATATATATATTCGTCATAACAAAGGAGACATTTGGTGGCAATAATTTTTTCTTTTAACGACAATTGAACTAATGTTATTGTTTAAGAGCCACCAAATTCTTTGCGTCATTTATACAGATTGGTGGTTATAAATATACTTATTAATTAGGGAAACTTACATAAATATACTATAATAACAAAATATTTATCATTTATGTCAATAATATTTTTTTTTACTTGATCACTTTTAATTCATTTATAATACAAGTTTAATTCGTATTACAAAGAACAATTTTTTATTCACATGTATACAAATTTTAATGATAAATAATTTATTTTATCACATATTTTAATTCACTTGTAATACAATGTGTCAAACTTTTACCAAACAAACAAAATACATTTTTAAAAACAATTATAATTCATATATATTGCATACATAATTCACTTTTAATACATATGACAGATATAACATAGTATTGCTATAAATGATAATAAATAAAAAGTATTGCTAAAATCAGTAATTATTTATTAACATGTATCAATTTATGTAATTTTTCCTACTAATTATTGGCGCTATATATAATATAGAGACAATTATATTTTTGTAACTAAACATGCTAATTAGAGATTATTTTTTTAACTAGTTGGTTAAATGTGTAATTTGGCCCTTACAGTGGGCTAAATGTGTAACTATGATCGATAAATGGTGATAACAAAATGCAGGCCTAAAGAACATTGAAATACATGGGCTGGTCCAAATGAAATAAAATACAGCCCAATAATATGGGCTTTTGTAAGCTTCTTAGAGGCCCAGATACAGTAAATCACGATGAAATTCGATATACATACTAATTTGTCGTGGATATAATTTTAAATTTTGATTCCCGATCATATTAAAATTTTTAATTAGATGAAAGTTTGTTCGACGTCCGAATTTAGGTTTGGTCAGTTCTCAACTTCATATTTTTGGGCGGAAGTCATAAAACTTTCATTTTTAAGTTTTGAATTTGTGAATGACCAAGCTTAACTTCAAATATTCGAGTTTGAAGTTTAGACTATCAAATTCATACGTGAACTATCGAAGTTTCATACGTGAACTATCGATGTTTAAAATTTGAGATCTCGTGATTTTTTCTTACACATCTTTGTATATACAAAGTATCTATATTACTTATAATAACATTATTTGTCTTGTAATATGTCAAAACATTAGCATAAAAAGTGGGTAATTGTCTTGTCCACATGTACTATAATTGATTACTTGTAATAGTATCTTGATTTCTTGTTATCCCTTTCAAGTGAAATTTAATGTCATGAATAGTAGAGTGGACACTTGGTGTTTCTCAATTCTTGTCCACCCTACAACAATTTGACTTCACGATGAGCTTTGTTGTTTCTTTGGTCCTTATTTTTATGATTGCAACTTTATATTCTAATATTAAAATTGTTTGGAAAAACAATATTTTTGAGTAGGAATTGAAAAGTTCATTTGAAACGATCATTCTACCACAAATTGAAGGTTGTTTAATGAGCGAATCAAAGAAAGATAAAATGACAAGACTTCTATCACATGTGCTTTTTAACGAGATCTTTTTTCATATTCAACGCTCTAATCAAGATCTCTAGCTAAGACCGGAGGAATCATATTCATCCCACCACATTACTCGAATATTTTTTTCTTAGAAGAGGTTGTTTGGAGGGAGGGATTCGTAGGTCAAATAATCTCTAATAAAGACGACTTTGTATTCAACAGGACTCAAATCTGATACCATAATTCCACCATAAATCCTTATTGTCTGTCAAACACATGAACACAACTCTTGAATTTTCAAGTAATTGCCACTAGCAATATATTGGACTTTGATAGTTCATGGGACATTAGTAGGAACCAAAATCAAAAGTCATTAGTAATGAGTTGCTATCATTGACACATAACAGAATTTTTAAGCAAATGAAAACTAGCCATGTTATGATGGTGCTAGACTTGATATTTGGATCATAGTGGACAAATAATCAATAATCAACTGTATATTCTTGGACTAATTATCCACTAATTAGAATTTTACATTGATTAATCAACTCTATTAACATCCTTTGTCTAAGTATCCACTAATTTTCTTGCATTCAATATCTACCTTCTAATTAAGGCTATGAGATTGACCAAAATAAAAGTTGCCCAAATTATGAAATAACAACTTGTAATTAGGAAGGCCATTATGAATTACACCATGAAGTACTCATTAAACCTATATCTTAAACATCAACACTAGCTAAAAATTATCTTAGTTCCATGATGTAAATTAATTATGACCATTTTTTTGTTATTTCTTAAAAAAACTATTTGTTTGTTGATATTCCACAACCAATGAGCAGACATATTGGACTTTTTTCCTCCTGTATTAATTAGAGTACAAGTGATGGAAAAATTTATATTTATCTTATCTGTTTTTGTTGTTGAACAACCAACTAATATCAACTTGATTGTAACTAATTATTACAATATTTTTATTATAGATAATAATATGGTGTAATTTTACGTATGAGGTCGAAAAAAGGATAGTGAATAATCGACTTTGTTCATATCTTGAAAGGTTTCAGTATACCCTCAACTTAAGGACAGTTATATTAAAATAGTTCGAAAAAGAGAAGAAGTCACAACAAAATAAGGTTACAAATTTTCTATGTATATATTTGTGGTTGAATGAAAACAGTGTAAGTCACTATGATTTTAATCAAATAATTATCCACAACATCCCAAGTTACTGAAAATATATTAGATACAATATTAGCTCTCTAACATTTGGTAAAAAATAAATTTGTTGTTAGTCTGTTGGTGAATAAATCTAACTCATCATTAAATAAAAGTAATTAACGATATATTTTTATTTAGAGGTGAAAATTATCCTTTGCTAATTCATATTTTTAATGATTTTTTGTAGTAGGACAATGTCTACATACACTTTTTATGAACGCAAGAGTAGACATTCGTAAAAAACTTATTGAATTACATATTATGTATATTATATTTAATTTTCAACTAGTAAAGAAATCGATATAAACATATTCAGAATCTAGAGTCATATATAATTCAAAACTATAATAATTTCTCATTTGAACTTTATATATAATTTATATTAAATCAATGAATATAATATCTAAACATTTGATACAAGTTGTCTTAAACTATATCATTACTATAAACAAAGACTTGACAATGAAAAATAAGTGGAAGTTGAGATATGTATGTGTATATATATATATATATAAAGATTGCTTGTAAGATTCTAACAAAAAGATGCATTATATTGCCCCCACACAACATAAAATAGATACCTCTCTTGTCAAGTTGGCATTTCTCTTCCAATAAAAAGATTGCTTGTAAGATTCTAATGAAGAAGATCCTTTTGATCATTACCCCCACCTCATACTTTTCTTTTGCATCTCCATCAAGTTTGCATCATTCTTAATGTTAATTAAACTTTGTTTTAAGTATAAACATATTCAGATTCATGTCGTATAGAGTTTGTTTTAAGTATGAACTTTGTTTTAAGTATAAACATATTCAGATTCATGTCGTATAAAGTTCATTAGATAAAAAGTAGTTTTTATAAAAATTTGTTTCGAGCTTGGATTTGAAGTTTGATTAAAAATAAAAGAGCTTTTATTCATTTTATCACAATCCTCCGTAAAAAATCTAAAGTTAAGTATAATTGGAGTTCACTTTTACGATGAAATGTCTAATTAAATTGAGTGTGTTAATAATTAATAATACTCAATATACATCATTATCAAATCCAAAATTGATCAGAAAAGATTGAATCATAGTTAAAAAAGATACAAGTAATTTTTTTACTACCACTCCAGTTCTTTTACATATATTTTAATTAATTTTATTATTATCTTCCATCAGTA